ATTCCTCTCGTTCGATTCGTTATCATGAAGTTAATCAAAGAAAATGCGATCAATTTCTTAACTTTGCTCTTCCTCTTTATTTTGAAAGTCTGCGAGGTCAAGGGTGGCACCTGTGTTGGTACCGTATACAAATATTTTATTCAAACAAATCTGATGACAGTTTCTGAGTCTTTGTTAATTGAACTAACCATCAACTAAAAAAAAAACAGGCATGTATATTTCTTTAACCAATGAAAATAATGAATGGAAAACTGCGAAAGATGGAACGCCGATACTTAGATATGATATAAATCGACGAATAATTTTAGGCAATAGTGAACCAAATGACTATTATACATTCGTGAAAGCCATCACACTAGCCAGACATGGCACGAATGAAATCGTACAGAATATTTATTACAGGGATGACGAACCTGCACGAAAAAACTTTGATCAAGCTCAGAAATGTAAATATCAAAATCTTCCACCCTCAAATTACGGTGCCTGTTGGGTACATAATTGGATTACTGATATTAATCCAAGCTTGGTTCCCGGCGATTATGATGTGTGGGTGCATGTGTACTATTGTCCGGCATACTGTGAAGGAGGTCATAGATGCCAAATGGATCTGGGTGGAATGTATGATTGCGAAAAGAGATACCACGTGTTTATTGAAAATTATTAATAAATTTTAGATTATTATTAATCATTTTTATTTTTAAATTTAAGTTTCAATAAAGTTTTTGAATTCGAATTAAATAATTAGAAATGTATTCTCAAAAAATTTTTTTAAGTATTTACGATTCGATTGTAGCACAAAACTATTGTGCGATGCATTTTTACATTTTTAGTGAAAAGTATAATTGCAAGTTGAACATTTTTTCGATGACTTATAAACTACACACAATATTCAAACACATAAATTTAAAATTATTCAATATGAAATCCTATATTATTTTTCAAGTAAAATTAAGAGAAAAGAGGCCGGCTGGCTAGATAGATCACGTTTATAAGACATGAAAGGTTATTCCCGTCAATTCCTAAACCATAAATGGCGGTTTTATCTATCTATTTCGTCTTACTACCTAAAGCTGACATTTTCTTTACCATTTACCCATTTTACAATTTGTCTAATGTGTTGGTGTACGAATTCGAATTCTTATTAACTCAGACATACTTATGTCCAAAGTAATATGAACTTCACAGATTTTCAATTGTTAATCTGTTAACCATTTAAAAGGATCACATTATAAAGATTTGCTTAAAATGGGTACATAATAGTTAAAATGATGTCGAGCCTATGGTAAGAAATAGATTTGTCAAAATAATTAGGAGCAAGTGGGTAATGCATTATCTTATATTCCTCACCAGAATAACTTCCTCACTTTCTGTGATCAAATTCGACTTGCTCAGTTTTAGTATAACTGCATATTCAGATTCATTATTTTCAGTTTTTTGTAAAGTTCTTTTCACAGTTTTTTTTATCCGAGCCTAATAAACGTAACGCTATGCCAGAAATTTGTTATACCCATCCTTTTATCACTGCTGCTGGAAATGAGTCGCACACATTAGTGAAAGAAATTCGAGAATAAAGTCGGAGAATTTTGAAAGGCCATTTAGTGGGACGGTTATCAAATTTTAGAATATGCATTCCTCAGAAGTTCAGGCTAGTGAATTTTTGAAAAATCTTTCCATCGTAATTTGATGATTTTTCAAAAACCAAATAAAATCAAGTTGTTCTTGCAAGCAAGCTAATACGTATACGTTAGGTAAATTTATGGTTAAATTTTGCGGTTATGATTTGATAAACTTTTTGTGGACAAATTTCTAAGATAATCATTCTATACAATGAAACGGTTTCGGAAACCATTGTTAAATCCGGAGCACAAGTGTAACGAAAGGGACCAACCACGTATCGGTGTTAGTTGTCAAAGTTGTACTGCGCCTCAGGTGATGTAACACTGCGGCGATAGTAATTCATACTGTGTCAAACTTGTAACGACGTTAAATTTAGTTCATTGTAACGATTGAAATACTTTTCATGATTAATTTACCTTTCATTATTTATTTAATTTGCATTATTTGTATTATTTATCTTTAGAAAGGCGTAGCTTAGTATTAGTTTAGAGTTTTTATAAATAGACCTGTAAGTTGACCTTAAGTCGACAGAGCTTTCTGAGATACCGTTCTAAATAAGTAGACTTATAACTCTACAGTTTTAATAAAGATACTATTTACACTTTCAACCTACTTCTAGTTCATACAAGGATATGATCGTGATAATTAACTCCACAAGTGAATCATAATAATAAATCATTATGATTGTTAATCGTTTATCTCAGGAAAGGCCTTCGAGATAATTGAGATATGGTTTGTTAGCTTAGTTTCGGTACAATTCCAGGTCTGACACCGGTCTTAATTAAACGGTTAATCGAACATGTTAACTGGTTAAAATTTTTAATGACGGTACCAATCACTAAATTTTAATAAGGAAAATTTTAAGTTCCTTGCCTTCATTGACCTGAAAACGGATGAATAAGCTTCGAATATGGTCTACATTGCAATAATTTAATACAATAACATCGCTGATTTGCGCTGTTGGCTTGGTATCTGTAAACTTAAACGATAAACTTTTAATTCAATCCGTCGAATTAAATAAGACACAATATCACAATCACGCCTATATGAAGACACGACTAAAGGCAATAGTAAATGAATTTAACAATTCCTTTATTGAACTCTTGGTTTATCCTAAAACCTCAACTTGAGTTACT